CACTACACCATGCAAAGGATTTTGGTGTGGCCCAAAAGGACAGCTAAGATGTATCCGCTTTGTAAAAGTCCTGCTAAGAATGTTCTTTTGATGTGATTCCACAAAGTTTCCTGAAATTCCAGACCTCATCCCCTGGGTGCATTGGGCATGCTGGCTGGGGATGTTAGGCATTGTAGTCCAAGATGTTCAGGACTTCACCACTAGGCTGAGGAAGGAACCTTCCTCATTAAGCCTTTGAAAAGCTCTTCTGAAACCACGCTAAGTGGATTGGAAGCAGGATCTGCCTCGCACAAGAAGGAAAGACTGGAGATTCCCATAATGGCTGCTGCGGATCGGCATTTCCCACAGCACCTCCATCTGCATGCCCAGCGCCTCAGCCTTCTCAGGGGCTGCACCAGAGTCTTTCAACCTTTAGAAGAGGTTGCAATGCACTTGAAAAGGTGCGTTTCTGCCAGTGCACTGAACCTGACAAATTCACAACCAGGATACGTTTACCAGCCGTGTTGTAGAGCAGCAGGGAAAGGTCAGGACAAGGAACACACGACAGATTGAAACTTGTTCCTTCCAATGTAAGAAAAAACAAATGCTGCTGTAAATCCGGCACGACACCACGCAACGCGAGAGCGGTCTCAAATATATGTTCAGAGCACCAGAAGGGGAACTCCTTACAAATGTGACCTTTTGCAAGGTTTAGCATGCTAATCTTGACGTTCCTCCTTCTGCTACTGAAGTGGCTTTTGGGTGCTTAGCTTCTCTCCCAGACATACCGCTGGGGACAGCCTTTCCCATTGGCTGCATCAGAGGGAGACGTGAAGCTGCCAGGCCACCTCCATTGGCCCAGCTGCCAGCTGGCCCCTCCCCTCCCCTCCCCTCCCCTCCCAGAAGCCACCCCATTGGCAACCTTTCCACCCGGATGTGCCTTCCCTTTTCTATTGCCTCACCTCGGATGAACTGCTCTGTGTCCTTGGACTGGAGGGACGAAAGGAAGGGCACCTGGGCTTCTGCCCTCAGCTTTGGGGCTACAGAAGTTGCACCTCCTGCTCAGAGCCAAGGGGGCAGCCAAAGTGGACCATCCTTTGCTCAAGGAAGGAGCAGCTTCGAAGAGCCAGAAGAAGCTCTAGTTTCAGCCTGAAGCCCTTGTGTAGGAGAAGGGAGGGGAAGAACACTCAGGGGCCTTTCACCTGATGGCTGTTCAAGCATTCCTCCGTCTTTTCCCTTCTTCTCTGTTCCCCTTGTGCTTCCTGTCCTCCTAGCTTGCAAGAATGAGCTCCTCTCTTCCTCTCTTTCTTAGTATTAATATGATTAATTTCATTTCTACTCTGTCCAGTCCTCAAAGCGCTCTGGGCAGTTCACAGCAATCCCTAAAATTGCAAATGACAAATGCAGACAACAGAGCACCACACTGCATTTTCAATATGCAAAATTTAAAACATTTTAAAGGCCTAAAAGAATTACAGTCAAAATATAGCTGACATAAATGCCCATCAGATGCCACCGAGTAACATTAAATGACTGGGAGTCTGTTTGACGTGATCTCTTTGGGAACAACAGCTTTCTGGAGACCAGGAGAAAAATGTGATAGATGGAATTCCCCGGAACTGTCTCCTTGGTGGCTAAAGCTGTTCCCCTGCACCTCTCAACTCCTGTTCACTTGTTTCTCTTGTATTGTCTTTATTAAAGTTGTCAGCCAGGGAATTTTGAAAGCCTTTAATGGCTTGGGACTATGAAAGGGCACCTTTCCCCATGTCCACCTTCAGAAGACCTGGTCTGTGTACCCCTTTCAGAGGCAGGTAGTTACTGCAAGGTAACCTTCTTTGTGGTGGCACCCCAGATGTGGAATTGCCTCTCTCCAGAGAGGTTCCCTTGGTGTCTTTATGATCTTTCCGGTCCTAATGCAGACCTTTTATATTCTCCCAGGCATTTAAAGTCTGTGCTTTTAAAATAGCTTAAAGAAACCATTGCTTGCATATGGTGCATTTTTAATTATACCACGAGTTTGAATTAGCTCTCTTTGTCTCCCTCTTTCTCTGCTGGAAATTTTTATGCCACAATTTAATTGTTTTTATGATATTTCTAATACTGTATTTCATTCCTTTTAACTTCATGAGCCACCTCGAGAGCTATTTATTGGGCAGCTGGAAGGAATATCATAAAACAAACAAACCACCTTGAGCCTGTGAGCAGAAAGGTAGAATAGAAATACATGTCTGTAAATAACACAATTAAAGAAGTAAATTTTAAAAAAATTCTTGCAGGAATAGTCCCTGGGATGGGATTGGGTGTCATTAACCATGGAAGAGCCCATTAAAAACTTGGTGCACCACGACCATACCTGCATTGAGAAATGAGCAAATACACTCCCACTATCCAGGCATGGTGTAGTTGAGCCAGGACCTGCAGAGATGCAGTTCTGGTCCTTTTCGATGAGAAGCCATGTCCTCATCATCTGCCACCCACCTCACGATGCTCTATTCCCTCTGAGCTGAGCTGCATCCCAAACAGTAGCTTCTTTGCAAGCGAGATCTTCTCAGCAGCAGTGTATGGCTGTGAGCTTCCCCTGCTGTAGTGCAAAGTCTGGGGCGAGTGAATGGGCAATGATGATCCTAAAGCTTTCTAAAAGGCTGACTCCCCAAATCATAGACTTATATAGATGCAAGGGGCCCAGAAAGCCATCAAGTCCAACCCTCTGCTCAATGCAGGACTCGGGTCACCCATCCAGATTCTAACCAGGGCTGATTCTGTTGAGCTTCCAGGATAAGGCAGGACCTCAAAGGGTGGGATGAGGAAACCAAGAGGGCTGGATCTGGGCCTTGAAGACTGCTGCATAGTAGCGACCCTGCTATAGAGGATTAGAAACATCCTAATGTTGATGGAAGAGAGCATCCACTCTGGCTCGCAGCGTGAGCTTTGGGGGTGCTGTCCAAGGTCCTGAAGATGAGCAGGGCTTATTACTCAGCACCAAGGACATCTCCCGCGATATTCCAGCTAAGCCCCAACGTGGCACAGGGCTCCTGAGAGTCTCAGGACGAGTGGCAGCATCTATGCTACTGCAGTACATTCAGTGATACCGTGGCCACTGTTTCTTGTTTCTGATGCCACCCTGGGCCTTCGTGGACCGGCAAACGGTCTGTCCACTGGGCTGAAGAATAAGCCCTGAGCATTTTCAGGACCCTGGACAGCTCCCTCGGAATGCACACTGCAAGCCAGAGCGGATGCTCTGTTCCATGCGCAGGAGGGATGTTTCTGATCCTTTAGAGTAGGAGTGCTCTGATAGAGTGCTCTTGGAGGTCCCAATTCAGCCCTCTTGATGGATTCGTTCCACCTTTGGTGGTGTCCACAGGGGTGCCCCCTCTTTCTCTGACCTCATGCTCTCCTTTCCATTGATCATTTGGCGGCTTTCTCGTGCCATCTAAAGTATTGGCCTGCTTCTCCCGAAGCTCAGCTACGGTGGGTAAGAGCTTCATGTTGAAACATACAATTGAGCTCTGACTCCACTACACCACTGGTTGGTTGGTCCTCATTCCTTAGTTTCCACCCTCAGAATTCAGGCCTGCCTCTCCTTCTCTTTCCAAGTTCACAGAATCATAGAATCATAGAATAGTCAAACTGGAAGGGGCCATGAAGGCCACCGAGTCCAACACCCTGCTGTGGCAGGAGACCAAGTCACACCATCCCACTCAGATGGCTGTTCATCTTTCCACTCTTCCAGTCAAGACGCACACACAGAGAGAGAGAGAGGTCACTGTTCATCTTTCATTTTCCTGCCGCTCTCCAAGCAAAGAATAATTAAGCTAAATCAATGCTGGCGGAGGTACAACAGTATAATATTTCTACACCTAAATCTGCATAAATAAAAAGGATCTTGGAGGGTGTGTGTGGTGCGGGTGGGGAGGGAAAGCATAACAAGCTTCTCAAAAGCAAATTAATTATCTCTTGGGACAGCCATTATTCTGTCTCTAAATCTCTCATCTCTCTTTGCTGGCCCCTTTCCTTTTATAATGCACTTTCTTGTCTTTTCTTGTACTGAATGCAGGCACCCCTCCCCCTGCATTTCTCGTAGGGAAGACGGAACATAGATCACAATCTATATAAAGCAATGCACCTTATCAATTCTTGCAAAATTGCCACAAAGCAATGGAAAAGTTTTTACATGCAGGGTTGGACCCATATGGTACCTGACTTAAAAGAGTGGACCGGCATTGTAAGAGCACACTTCCACCAGCTCCACACTGCATAGCCAATGGTCATGGATGATGGGAGCTGTAGTCCAACAGCATCCTATCCATTACGAGTTCCCCACTCCTGGCTTTAGCAGGGTCTCAGGCAGCAGGGCTGGGAAAGGTTCTCCTTGGAAAAATATGGAGAGCAGAGGCTAGACAAATTGAGGGAGTTGCCTTGGCTGGAGCCACAGCCTGTGTTCCTCTAGCACAGCCAAGGATGACACCAAAGGCACACACGGCAGACGGCTCGGCAAGGGCTCACGGACCAGAGGTCCTTCCACTTGCTCCTCTATTGCACCATTGGGATCTGCACGCACATCTGCCTCATGCTGTGGACCAGAGGGCAAAGGCGAGGAGACCAGAGGGAGCAGCTTGTATGGCCTCTTTGCCCCCTGGCTCTCTACTTGCCCAGGGAGGAAGGAGTAGCCATGATGAGAATGAGGTGGAGGAACAAGAGCAGCTGCTGACAAGGACGGGGAGAAGGTGGCACCTTGGATGGGGAGGGGCCCTTGAGAGTTCCCTGGCAAGGCTCGCAAAGCCCTGGAGCCCCCCCTTCCCCCAGCTGGCACTCTTCGGAAGTCATGGCTACAGCATGCATCCTGCCAGCCAGCCAGCATGCCCATTCCCAGGCCCACAGGGCATGCTGGGCACTGAACCAGGCACCTTCCTCACGCAAAGCATGTGCTTGACCTGAGTTGTGGCCCTGATCCTCCACCTGAAGCTACCGCTATCATGTTAGCATTGTCAAGACAGACAGGAAGCCACTCACCTGCGTCTTTCCCAGGAGAAACAGCACCTACGACCTTCTGCATGTGATGCAGGTGTGGCTGGGAGTGAATACACACGATGGTTCTGGCTGGGGTCTGGTCTGCATAGGCACGGGAGCTCCCACACCAGCCAGGATTCCTCATTTTCAGGGCACCAAGTTCAACACCACCTCCTCATTTCTTACTTCATCTTTCCATGTGAACAAATGATAGAGTAGCCAAGATTAACAGCTCTGGGATTTAGCCCAGGCTGGGTTTTAGCCTTTTATAAAGAATCTGATTTATGGATGCCATTAGAAGGGAGAGCAGTATCGATCAGCCTGAACTGCTCAAATGGGTAAGTAGATATTGGGGGAAAAGGTAAAATGCTGAGAGAAGGATGGGGCTTCGGAGAAGCACATTTCACTTTTGAAAAATTCCGTGACACAGTAGATGGTGCAACAGGGGATCAGGTTTTCCCCCTCTGACTTTGGCATCAGTTCCACCTATTCTAAAAGGTTAGAAGGGCAAGGGGGGCCCTGGAGTGCTGGACGTGACTCACTGACCTGGAATTCAACACATCCGTCCTATGGCATCGCTCCCGTTCATTTTTATGGGAGCCAGAGACTGCAAGCTGGAACGTGGCTGTGGGTGCCGATCGTGCATGGGAGGGTGAAACCAACCTTGGGCTCTGGATCCTACATTTAATTTCAGAGAGGAGAAGCCAGTGTGGCGTAGTGGCTAAGAGCATGGGGCTGGGGCTCAGAGGATCTGGGTTCGAGTCCCCGCTCGGCCATGGAGCCAACTGGGTGACTTTGGGCCAGTTTCAGACTCTCAGCCCAACCTACCTCACAGGGTTGTTGTTGTGGGGAGACGATGGAGGAGGAGAGATGATGTATGCTGCCTTGAGTCCTTTGTAGGAAAAAGGCAGGATATAAATCACAATATAAATAAATAAATAAGCATGCAATGGTTTTCCAGGGGTCTGCACTATGTAACTATCCTCACAACATGTTCACCCGGTGAGCACAGCCATATGAAAAGGGATAAATGACCATGTGATGTGCTCTTGAGTTGGTGCACGGTCTAAACGGTTGAATTAACTTGCTGCTGCCATGATGTATAAGAGCATTTACATTGTGAATAAAGATTAGATAAACTGTTTAAAAGCTCGCGGGAGTGAATCATCACATTTTGTTAATTGTTCTCTCTCAATTTATCTCTCTGCCTTATTTATTAGGAGACAGGGCCTGAAACCTTAATAAAAAATGGTTGCACAAAGAAACATCTTTGCTTTCCACACACCCCTCCAACAGCCTTTTTAATTAGCTCAATTTAATTGAGCTTGCAAACTTCCCTTCCTGTTGAAAAGAGACTATTTTCCTTCCCTCTCTCCCTGCCTGCAGAAGCAACTTGGAGAACTGACTTCCATCCTCCTGCTTGTTGTAGCCAAAGAGGGGCAGGGGCTGGATTCACTGGCCACTGGATCCCCTGGCTGGTTTCACTGTTGGAAAAGATGAAGGCTGCACAGTATTATCATGCACGCCTGCATCCCAGTGGGAAGTTGCTTTAAGGAAGGTGCAACCGAGTCTTTAGCAAGTAGGTGTGGCTCCTTCTCTTAAACAATGACCTATATCCCATTAAAAACAAGGAGCAATGCCCAGCTATCAAGGTAGGGCAGTAAGCTTTTTCTATGCCAGTTTTTAGTTATAAGGACCCAGCACCTATATTTTCCCTTTCTGTCTGTATTTCCATTGGCTGTACCAGGTGGAGCTGAGGGGAGCTGTAGTCCTGGGGGGGGGGGGGTAACAAGTTAGGGAAGGATGCTTGATGCTTTGAAGAAACCACTTAAAATTCTCCTGAGTGGTTTTGCAAGGAGTGCAAACTAACAACACAGTTTGCCTGAGCGAAGCCATCTGCTGCCATTCAAGATCCCAGCACGTTTCCTAGAGCCCCTACTTTCAAAGCCTACTTTGAGAACTGAGCTCATCGTTACAATACAGAAAAAGCACAATCCAGGGCCACCTGCTCTTGAGACTCCCACGTCCTTCCAATGGCCACAGTCCAGCATGGGAGTCGCCAAGCCATGCATGCTGTACAGATGCCCATACAAGGGGAAGGAGGCTGGCGTGAAGGTAGAATTGGCACACAGATACTGTCCCGGGTGCCTCTTCTTTCTTCCCCATTGACACGCCCCCTTTACCTCTCTGGGGTGCATTTGCACCCTGGAGGGGCAGGCAGCACGACTCCTTCTGCAGCACCGAGAGTGGCTGCTGGCATCCCAGGGCCACAGGACTGCTAGGATTCCAGGGAATCCCATGGCAAAACAAGAACCCCGGCTGAAGTCCATCTTTGCCTGTTCCTGCTTGTTCCGGGGTGAGGCCAGGTGGTAAGCGGAGAATGTGCCCGCTGCCCTGGGCAGAGAACATTCTTCATTAGCTGATGCTTGCCGGATGTGAGCATCCAAATGAAGCCAGTCAGGCAAAGATTTTGCAGAATTAGCAAAAGGTCATTGCAGTTCCCATAAGGGGAAAACATTTACATCCAAGAAGAACGGAGGCCAAGAAACAGACCAAGATTACCTCCAAGGCAAAGCATAAGCACATGGCCCGCAATGTCTCCCCCTTACTCTTTATATCTGCAAGGAGACTGCACATTTCCAAAGAAAAAAATAGGTGCACGGCGCCCGAGTTAGCATCCCTGCATCCCTGGGGGGGCATCCCTTGGATACAGCGGTTGGATGCTGTATAACCCCCCCCCCCAAATATGATCATAGGGACATTTCTCCTCCAGTGACAAGGAGAAGACATCTGGGACCATCTCTGGAAAAGAGCAACAGCTGAAGCACTTGCATTTTCATTTCCCTTGGTTCTTCCACATTTCCCTCAATTTCTCATCTTCTACACTCTTAAAAAAGAAAAAAGAACCCACCACCATATCCATCTACGGTTCTATCATGCTCACCCTATTTGCAGAGACGTACGACTGACATCCGGGAGATGCATGGCACTGCGCTCTCTAAGGCAGCTTGCATTGCACGGCCAGTTTTTGGCTGTCAAACACATCATTCTTAGCAGAATAGATGAAAATGAAAGGTGATGAATTCTTGAAGACATCCACCAAATCCGAGAGCATGCGGGCTGAGGTGCCTGGAGGAAGGAAAGAACCAGGGAGGAGGGAAAGAAATGAAAAACCCCAAGCGAGATGATGACACAGTTCATTAACTGAGGCTTGTGCCTCCCCAGGATCAATGGCAGGGCTTTTAAAGTGCAAAATCCAAGAGTATGTGGATGAGAAGCCAAGAAGGTTGAATCTGGTCTTGTAAGGAAAGGTCTGGGGTTTTAAAAGAAACACCCTTCTGTGGTGTCTAAATAGGTTGCATGGTTCAGGATGCCTCTTTGCTGGAGGGTGCAACTAGTGCTTGTTTGCCAGACGCCTTTGTCTCTTCTAAAAAGGATGAACTGATGAATCTGTTTCACATCTGTGTCACTGTCTTTTGCAGGGGCGCCCCCCCCCCCATCACGTGGCTGGGTGCAGCTGCATCAGGGGGCTGAGCAGGAGGAATGGCGAGCTGTGCTGCTTCCCCGACCCTGCCAGGAAGGTCACACCTGGCCACCTTCACCTCATGGCTCCGTAGACTGATGTAGGAGTCTTCAGAACTCCACTTCCCATGTTCCCCTGCAGCAATAGAAGCTGCGAGAGTCCCCCTTCCACAAAAGGGACTTGCATGAAGAGTTGGGCGAGGGGTTATTTGGTTGGTTTGTTTTTTGTTTAGGTTCAGAAAGGGATGGATTCCTCTGACAAAACAGCAGTGGACCAGCCAGTCCGTATCATGCCGGGTTCAGGTGGGGCTCAAATGGATGGGGAAAATTCTGTCCTCTGCCCCGAATTTCGCATAGCTGCCCACTAAATCAAACAGCAATGCAGCATGTTGCAAGAATCTTTTCCTCTCCTCAGCACCACTGCAGGAGCTGAAACCCATTTTTTAAAAGATACGAATGTAGCAAAGATAAAACAGGATTGCTGAACTTCACAGGTTAATGAGCTCAGTGGGTAAATTGGCTTTCCACAGAAGGAACATATTTGTTCTCGGTGCATCATCAGTATGAATCTGACATTCTGAGACTGGGAGGTTTCGTTATCCTCCCTTGTCTTGCTGGGATTTGCTTCAATTATGCCAGAGAATGTTACTTCTTCCTTGCCCTTAATAAACACCGCAAAGGAAATTAAATTACTCAGACAGAACAATGGTGAACCAGTTTTGACATCTCTTCGAGGCAAAAGCTCCTTGTGTGCGAGTCGCTTAAGCGCGTCTGCCCGCACTTGAGGTCTCATGTATATGGGATTGCTCATCCTCAAAACCAGCACCCCGTGAGAACATACAAGAATCCTGGAATGTAACGGGAGAAGCAAGGAGAGCTGTTTTGCCACTCTTTTCTAGGAATTAAGAGTTCTGAAGATGTGGGAAGGGTGGTCAGTAGGTTGGACCAATGTGTTTATTGGCCCCTTCCAGCATTACTCTGCTATGAGTCTGTGAATCAGTATTGTCCTTCAGACGATGCATTCCACCAACGGAGCACACCACTAAGTAACAGTGGAGCTGTTTACATTACTTGTAGGCCCCTTCTTTCTATCTCTTGCAGGGAACGCAAGGCATGTTACAAATCTTCTTGCTCCTCCTTTCATCCTCTCAACGACCCTGTGAGGTAGGCCAGGCTGAGAGGCAGGGACTGGCCCAAAATCATCCTGTGACCTTCATGGCCAAGTGGGGACGTGGCTCTGGATCTCCAGAGCCCCAGTCAAACACTCTGAACCACAATACCAGATTGGCTTTCTCAGGGGATCAGCCTATTAAGGTTTAATGCTTTTACTGCCAGTAATGAAACCTTAGGAGAGGCATTTCAACCTTTGAGAAAAGGAGAGAGACTCCATCAAAACCAGGAAATGGACAAAGACTTGGCAGGTGGGAAAGGGAGTTGGAGTGATCTGGGGAACCCGGAAGGTTGGATTTGCCTGCTGGAGCTGAGGTTTTGAACCCCTGCTTCAGAGCTTCCTCCCACCTTCCTCTCCATTTCTGCAGTCCTAGTGCTTCAGCTGACCATTGTCTGGCTTGGGACAGCAAGACAAGGAAGCCAACTGGTGACCTTCTCAGCCATTCTCCAGACCATGGGCAGCGTTTTCCATCTGCCAGGATGGAAGCTTAGCCTTAGCTTTTCCATGGCATCGTCATCTCTGAGATGGCTGAACCTGACTCAGAGAATCTTGGCTTCCACAGGACCAAATTAATAAAAGGAGAGGTTTTTAAAACATTCCTTTCAACTTTCCACATGCCCAATCAGGATCTTTGGAACAGAATGAGAGAGAGGGAGGGAGGGAGAGGTGGAGAGAGAGAGGAAACAGGAGATATTTTTGGCACAAACCATCAGATGATACAAGAGACAGAAGGTAATTGTTATTGACCGCGCTTTGCTACAAGTAGGTCATATCTTGCAGGAAGATGTTACAAACGTTGTCAGAGTCAGAATAAGAGAAGAACACATCTTGCCATTCTGAGTAAATTTTTCGACCAAAAGGTATTGAGCAAAAGAGCCCTGTTGCTTTCAGAAACGATATCCTTTGACAACCCATCTGCTGCAAAATATTGATCGTCTTCTGTCAGCCTTCAGGAGTCTTAAAGAGAACTTGACCAAGGGAAGAGCATCTTTCGGAGACGACAGCCTGCTGGCATAGGACAAACACCACTCCGGTCTCTGAACTCTTGATTTCAGGGCCGCATGGTGCCAAATCAGTGGTCACCCAACTAAATGTGGTTCTCTGATTCATGGTAAATTAATTCCTTTATCTGAGGTCTTCGTATTCTTACACTTGAAGGAGGAAAGGGAGAGGATGTGCCAGTGTCCAGATTGCTAAGATGAGGGCTCCTGGTCAAGAGAAAGACTATCTGTCTACTAGAGCAGTGCGGGAAGAAGTTGCCGTGCAAGCTTTCCCTTGGAACCACCGTTTTTCCTTTGAGTGTTTGACAGTTTCCCAGGTTTTGTGTGAGTTCCGCCCCACTTCTAAAAGTCTAAAATCCCTTTCCTGTAGCTGAAAGCCTTTCTTTATACGAGGCTAGTAATCACTGTATCTGGTTTTGGTTTCATTGAGGTCTGCATTCAGAGCTTTTCATATCCTGCTATTCCAGAATAAAACCACTAGGTGGAGCCAGGTGATAGTGGAATAGCACAACTAAACCAGGCAAAGGTGTGCCATTTCTCCTGTTATAGTTTAATACTTCATTTGAAAAAATGTTCTGGAAAAGCAGAAGTGATCCAGCATGAGTCAGGAATCTAAGCATGCATAAATGCCTCACAGAGAAAAGCTTTTAGTTAATTATCATTACTGGCTAAATAGGATGGTACTTTTTGCTGCCTCACAGAAGAAGTCAGGACAGAGAGAAAAGCAATTATGCAGGACAAGGAGTAGCAATTTACCAGGGAAAGGGATTAAAGAACAGGGTGTATTAGTAGAAACAAGAGAGGGAATCAGAGAAATATATACTATTCTGGATTGCCTCCAAATATAGATAAAACAGACCCACTGAAATCAACACAGTCATGTTTAACTTGAGTCTCCTTGCTTTCAGTTGGCCTCGCTTCTGGTATGATTCAGCATCCTATGATGTTGATGAAGAAATGGGCATATCCGTTGCTTTTAAAACGCTTTCTGTATCTTTTTTCTTTCCTGGAGTTTGATCTCACCTCTGATGGTCTCTTCACCTTAAATGGGACCTATCATAAATGGGACCTATCATTTGTGTACGTTAAAAGGAGTGCATGGCAATTATCCATTGTTGATCAGAGAATGCCAACTTAAAGAGGCTGACAGCACAACCGGGGTATAAATTTAGTTGCCATGTAATTAAGCCATCGTTACATAAGCAATGAAGATAAAAATGTGTAATGAGATTTTGGATAATAATAGAAGGAGATGATAAGGAACATCCATGCTTCTAATTGGCATTGAGCAAATTAACTGTAGCAAATTAGATATCAATGAACACGGCTTTTCTCACAAATGTCAGTTATACATCAGAATATTAATTCATGCCTAATCAATTTTCATTTTCGGTTGGACTTGTTGACATTTAACACTGCAACTGGAATCCACATTTTATGGGGTGTTCATAAAATATTATATGGAGTGGAAAATTAGCACATCCTCCTGTCCCAAAAGGAAAAAAAATAGGTAAGAGAGGACTAGGGAGGGGTGTGTGTGTGACGAGGAAAAAGAAATCAGAATGACACATCACGTAATTGCTGATTGGAAAAAATCTGATGTTAGACTTGCCTGAGGCCAGAATTTTGGACATTTAGCAATGCCTGTCCCAGACTCCTGGGCCAGAAGCTGAGGTCTAAAGGCAGCCAAGTAGAAAACAGATCAGGAAGTAGCAGCCGAATGTATCCTTCAGAGGTTCTCCTCCAGCTGTTTTGGAGCAAACAAAATGAGGTGTGTTTCTCCTAAGAGCAGGGCCTTTTTCGCCATGGCACCATGGCCTCTCTGTCTCCAGTGTTGTGATCTTTTTGGCACTGGTTGAAACCCCTTTGATTCTCCCAGGCACTTAAAATCATTAGGGCACAATGTTACGCATGCTTTGATGGGGGGGGGGGGAATCTACAACACCCATCTTCCCCTGCCAGCCTACTGGAAGATGTGTTTTTTTGTCCTTCTGACTAGGCTTGCCCAAGATTGCACTCTTAAAATATGCTGTCTTTAAATATGGTGTTGCATCTGTAGATCTTTATGCTGCTGGGGCTCACTCTGGTTTTCTATTTGACTTTAAAAGGTTGGATCCTTATCTTTTATCATAGTGTTGTATGTATTGACTTAAGGTTGTAAGCTACCCTGAGCGTTTCGGCTTTTGGGCAGTCTAGAAACTGAACAACTAAGGGTGCTATTCTATCATCCCCCAGGCTGGATTCATGTAACCCCCAAACTCATGTGTTGATATGGCTAATTCTTTGTGGCACCTTCTCATGTTGCTGTAGGGAGGGAAAGCAAGCCAGCCCAAAAGGTACAGGAAAACCAGAGTTTGCAAGTCTCTTTGTAATGTTATTTCCACTTGGAATGCGAGGCAGAGTTTCAAATTCACATGATGCAGCTCATTACAAAGGGAGCCTTTACAAATAACTAAGATATTAGATGACCTGATCAAGCAACAGACACAGATGGAATCTCATCCGTGGATTCAAGAAGCTAACTTGGGATGCTTCCAACTTAACCTCAGACCAATTTCAGCAAAGCTGGAGGAAAAGAGGGTCGGAGTGTGTTTGCGCATCTTTCAAGCCAGCCATTCTCAAGGGTGCAGAAAAATAAAAAGACTGGGCATGGACATCTTGCAGGTTGTGGGGGAAACTGTATCAACAAGCCAGCTTCCAAATGGTAGCAAGAACTCCGAGCGAATTCATAATTTCACACATCTAGACGAGTGCTAAAGTAGCACGGCTGTCTTACACGGCAGTGTGATCCACTGGCATTGTGTCTCAATTTCTGAAAGGTCAACTCCCCGTTGTGTGTGCAGCAGTGCTAAACACCGGAGAATCCAAGTTCACTTTCCACGTTCGACCATTCCTCCACCAGGGAAAGAACAAGGCTCACGCCGTGAAGTCGGAATGCTGAAAACCTCTGCAAGCACGCTGGGTTCCAAGACAGACGCAGCCTGGGGTGAATTCATAATCAAGTTGTGGCAGCTCCTGTCCAACTCTCTTAGCATCCTTCCCACATTTTTCTTCTTCTTCTTGATGAGTGGTTTCTTCTTCATCCTTCTCTGTGCACCAGGGCAGGTAACCTGGTAGCCTTCTTGCGTGTTGGAATGTAACTCCCATAATCCCTGACCATGGGCCGTGTTGCCTGGTGCTGATGGGCTCTGTAGTGCAAACTGTTGTCAGGTTGTCAGGCTGCCCACTCATCAAGTCTGTGCATGGCATGATCTCCACCAATCAAGCTTGGGTCTCTCCATTTCTGGCGCCGGAGCATGTTGCTTGTTCGAAGATCGAACAAGAGCAGGGCATAGACCAGTGTGGGAGCCTTACACGCATGGATTATTCACAAAACCTTGATTTTTCTATAATGCCGCAAGAGGAAAGGCTCGAAGTGATGCACTGTAGAGTGAAGGAAGATGCTGGTTGTTCTGAAATTGGCGATCCTCCTTGGTCGGAGATCAGCAGGAATCTGCAACAAAATGTTGCAGCGGAGATGGCTGCGATCTATGTTTCCCTGCATCTCCCAGGTTTTCTGTTCTCCTGCCAGCAGTTGTGCAGGCAGGAGGCATATGCAGCACCATCACTGGCCATGGTCAGAGCTGTCTTGGAGCTTCCTCCTCTCTTATGGGTGGATGTTTTCTCTCTAGTTTTTATTTCTGATTCTATTGGCATGGTGATGCCATTTTGGCTCACCAGCCACACTCAGCACAGTCATCAGTGAGAGACGGAAAGTGGTGGAAGGTGGGGAGAACGAAAAGCTATTTCCAAAAAGGATAAGAAAAAGAAAATGACTTCAAAATAAAGGCGAACATGTACAGGTCATTGCTCCTCTTTTGATCTGTTTTACATCAGGCATCCCTAAACTCTGTCCAACCATTGTTTCCAGTAAGTAGAACATAGTGAAAAAGTAATAATGACTCATTACCCATGCAAATGAATTCTGCTCGGAGGAAAGAATTTCGATGCTTATAAAATGGTGCAATCATGCCATTGCTCCCAGCCAGCTGAGCGTAATGTATCACACACATACATGCACATAGACACCTACTTTGATAGTGATGAATGTGCACCTTCATATATAATTGTAAGCTAAAGGGGAATTGGTTGAAAAATAAATGAGTAAGCACCTGACTGAATTTGCAGTGAAAGTTGCTAAGGAGTGGAGTCCTAATGCTGGACAAATTCTAGCAGAGTGGAGGGACGGCAGGTGGATCACCAGCAGTTTGGGGCTTCAGCTTCCAGAATTTCTGAGCACTGGCGATCCTCGCAGGACCTGAAGTTCGAACTATCAGAGGACCTACTTTCTGGTCATTGCTGCTGTAGACTGCTAAGTTCAAGCCATTGCTTGGTGTGGGAGACCGAGCATGTGTTGGGGGCGGGGAACTCCTTCAGCCTGGGGTGTCAAGCCTAAGGGGACACATGTTTATCTTTTACAATCCAAGTGGGGCAAGCCATGCAAAAGCTGGAAACTCTTCAGCTCACAGGCAGTGGGGAAAGGTGGGTGAGGCCAGGCCACAGGGTTATGGCCTGCTAGGGAATCCCAGAGGGCCAGACTGGAGCTTCTGGGTCCCCAGGTCCAGTGGAGTCTGCTGCTAAGGAGAGCCCACCACCAGCCGGGGGAAGTAGCTCCTCCATTCCTGAACAGCTTCTGCTGGTCAAGCAAAACCTTGAAGTCCTTTGGAACTGCCTGTACCCTCTGAAGGTGCAGATCATTCATTCCCACCTTCTTCTCTTTAGTGTGAGCGCCCTTCTGGTATGGAAGAGGAATATTGTACCTGTGCTGTGTCTGCTCCATCCTACATATCTCCAGTGCTTCAACCTTTTCACACAGGACTTGCTTTCCATGCTGCTGACTCAGCCGGGTTGTCCTCTTTTTCTTGTGCGCTGAATTTCTCCTTTTTATTCTGCTAGAGTTACAGGCATACAAGGTCAACCCGCAGAATTCATTGGCGGGGGCAGAACCTCAGCTTTAGGGGCCAGAACTGTAAGAAAGAGCAGGCCCAGTCCTGCCATTTAGTGCCATTTAGTGCTAGTGAAAATTGTCTGTCTGTCTATCTATCTAACACATTTCTATCCTGTCCTTCCCTGGGTCTCAGGATGACATTACAGCAATAAGCACAGCATCAAACATCAAATAACAACTCATATTTCAAAACAACATCAAATCTTAAAATATTGGGAAAAAACTAAGGTTTAGTGCAAGTTGGACAGATTTCTGGTAAGAAAAAGTCCAGTTCTGTCTATGAATGAAAAATGCCTGGCAGTCCATGGAATATGGAGAGAATTGCTGTGATAAAATCTGTCCATCCCTAACGGAGAAGGTGACAACTTCTCAGGCAAGGAGACTGACCAAGGAGTGCTCGCAGTGTGTGTCTCTATTTGCATTAAAGAACTGACGCCATCCAGGTTTGTGTATTTTTCCCTCTTAGGAGATAATGCAGAGAATTATGTTTTGATTGACTTTCTGCAGACCATTGTTATTAGAAGAAGCCTTTAGAAAATTGAAGCATTTAGTCCAATTAAGCTTGCAGTCAATATACTTACTATGGCTGGGCACAGAGTCCCCCGGGAGTTTAATGCCTGTAGAAGTAGGGAGTCTATTTTCTGAACGCATCGAGTAAGTCACGTGCACCTCATAGAGCAAATTGCCGGCAGAACAGAACTTTTCAGGAGCTGTAAAACACAAGTCCCAATTCCATTAAAAGCCATTAAAAATCCCCCATTCAATCTTGCTCACTCCCCCTGTTCTTCCTTCAATCCATCCTTGCTCAGCCTCTGCAGATATTCTGCACTGGCTCTCTCATTCAGTCACAAAGCCAAGGCAGAAGAAAAGGTGTCTGAGAAAAGGGGGATGCTCCCCATCGATTTGAGAATGAGACCTTGGGAAGCATCCGTGCACCTGCTGGAGTGGCCATGCTTGGCAGCGAGGCCTCCAGCTGCTGAGCCCTGACCTAATGGATTTCCCTTTTCCTTGGCCTGCCTCCTAGAAGGCCCAAGACCAGTGCCGGTCACTCAGTTAGCTCTCCTCCTTTCCCGGCAGTTCATCCGTTTCTCTCTCGCCTCCTCAAGATCTTCTCGGTTTCTCCATTTCTGGTCTCTGTCCAAAGGAATTTTGGTTGGAAATGTCATCTTCGGCAAGCTCTCTCTCCCCGCCTCGTTGGCAGTGCTGCTCGAAGCCACCCACCCATGAGCGTTTCTCACTGTTAGAGCTGGGAATGGCAGCCCATCGCTTCCTCGTGAACGCTGACAGCACGATCGGCACGATGCCGATAAATATTGAGAAATGGAACGGGTGGAGGAGCCCCGGCAGGGCTGATGCCGTGGATGTCATGCAAAGCAGAAGAGACATGATAGGAGCACAGCTCTTCTTGGTTGGATGCGAGCTCTTGATAGGGCTGTGCCGTTTTTCTCCTCGGGCTCAGACAAACTGCCTGGGTATGAGCTGGAATTTAATCCGTGTGCTCCCAGGGAGGGAAGAGCACTTTGGGGGAAGGACTACTTCTGGGACAACCAGGCCAAGAAATGGACACAAAAGCTGTGTGTGAACCTGGCCTCTCCCTGGTGTCCCTTTTTAAACCCCAGAAATGCAAAACAGCCACCCCAAAGGGACGTTTTGTGGACTGGCCCTGCTTCTGGCTCCTTGATCCAGGGAATCAGTGTTCCATTTTTGTAAGAACTTCAGAAGAGCCATGCCATGTCAGACGAAAGTTCATTTCTTCGATGCAGGGTAGGCCCATCGAAGGCTCATTGCAGGCTATTTATTTATTTAAAACTTTTATATCTTATAATTATTATTTTTTTTAACTTAACGTTGTAAGTCGCCCCGAGGCTTCGGCGAATGGGGCGGCATAAAAATGTTTTAATAAATAAATAAAAATAAATATCCCATCCACTACTGAGGTCTCAGGACGGTCCCACGAAAAGCAAAATAGAGCACAGCAGCCAGATAATTTCTTATACAATAAAACCCCATCATTAAAACCATAGTCAAGCCTTAAAATAATGGGGAAAATCTTAGCCTGACACCGAAAAGGATGAAGTGTCAGTGCCAGGTGAATCTCTCTGGGATGTCACTGCAGATTCATCACTGGAGGAGGAGGAGGAGGAGGAGGAGGAGGAGGAAGCGGTGCAGGTGCAGGAGTGGACAGGGGGAGGGGGTCTTTGAAGTTTCAAGGTTACCAAGCATGAGAACTGTCCAGCTTAGGAAGGGATGGGATGGTTTTCAGGAGCAGAGGGGTGGATGTGTGAGGCCCAGTCCCCAACCCTGTGAGGAGGCATTGGGAGAAAGGAGGCATTGCCGCTCCCACCATCCTGCTCTCCAGCAGCAAGAACCACCATGAGGGTGGAGGCAGAAGCCCTACTGAAAGGGAGGGAATGCAGGGAAGTTTCCAGTTGGGATTCAACTCTTTACATGTGCAGAGGCTTCTCCCTCAACTTGGGTTGAAGGCTCTTGAGAATTCATACTGTTTAGTCATGTTGGAGGGTATTAAGTGTAATTATTTTTGTTCGTGCTCTCATTAGCTGTGCTAATAGAGCTGCTGCTGCTATTACTGAAAGGCAGGCTGGTGTAGTGGTTAGAGTTGAAAGTTTAAATCCTTGCTCACCCATAAACTTCCTTTGGGTCAGTGACTATTCTCAGCCTAACCTACCTTGCAGAATCATTGTGAGGATAAAAGGAAGGAAGGACATACATTCATGTCCTGGAGGTGAGATGGACTATGCGTATAATCATATGTATATAGAAACATAACAAAGAGTATATGGCAGGAGACATTTCACTGAGGAATCTAACCTGTTGTATCTTCCAGAATTTTCTTTCAAGAGACTGGATCTAGATTTTGACCCTACGGTAGAAGTTTCATATGGAAAAAAAGAACTCTCCTTCCAACCAAGGAGGTTAATGGTACATTTATAAGTGTATTTTATAAAGATTTTATAAGAATGGGCAGAATAATATTAATGATATGTGAACATAAGTGGCAAGACTGGATTTATGTTCCGAGCAATTACATTTCACAAGCCAAACTGGAGCGCTGATGTAATTAACAAGAATAATGAAAACTGCTGTCTTGATATAAATCATTGTGTGTGTGTGTGTGTGTGTGTGTGGCTGCATGCTTGTTTTTCAAAGCCAGAAACAACAGAAGTGGAGAAGAGGCATGGAGCAGGAGCTGAATTCTGTCATTATTCACTGGGTTGAAAGGCAAAGGGTGGGATTAATCAGGGAAGTGGCGATCCCACTGTTTTGTTCTGGAGATTTCCACCATCATGGGAAATAAACGGAACTGGATGCAAATTGCACTGATTGCATTCTCAAAATCCTAATCAGGAGAAGTAATTTCTTTTATTGATGTGAAGGTGGAAAAAAAACAAAACCAAACCAAAAACCAGCAACTGTGTGGGATGGGGAATGAACATGATCAGTCAGGTATCTTTGGCAATGCCTGCATGTTGCGTCTGAACCTTAATCAGAGAAAGCACGAGAACAGTTAAAAAGAGTCAGGCAAGGAACACTGAGGGATGTATGCAAACTTCATTTAGCATCATGGTTTTCTCCACTTGTCCTTGTTCACACCTCCAGGGTGAACGCAAGGCTACACGTAATTTTGGGGGAAAGGTGGCATCTTCTTGAACTTGCATTCATGTTCTAAAAATTCGTGCGGAAATGTGCTTGGCAAAACAAACAAAGCCAATTTCAAACAAAGCAAGGCAAAAGAAAAACTCAGATATCTTCATAATTTAGTCTAGGTGAGTAAATGCACGTTTGCATGCACATTTTCAAAAGGCATCCCAAAATGCCAAGAAAGCAGTTTTGAAAAGGGTACAAGTCAACAAAGAGAACAGAGAGAGAGAGAGAGAGAGAGAGAGAGAGAGAGAGAGAGAGAATGGAGAATGATTCTGTTCTGGAAGGAGCACACTCCCAGAACCTTGCATAAGGACATATCCACCAACCTTTTGCAGAAAACCCCGGGGCTCTACTTGTTAACACCCCAGTTCTCACCACAACAATCTCAGTCCCGGTTGCTCCATGGTTAAACTTTCCCAACGGCTCTTCTCTGTCAGGGGTAGCTGATTTTATTTTTCCTTTCCATGGTGAAATGGCCTGTCTTCCTCAAGTTTAAACTTTGAAGCCATTACAGGTTTCCCAATGACATTCGATTACAACGGCCACCGTCGTCTCCAGAACCATTAGATTCTGTTGCGCACTGATGTGGAACGTCCAGGTCCTACCTGCCTGGATTTCTGCACAGCAGGTCGTTTCTGAAGCTAGAATTTAAAAAGAAAAGCATAAAAGATGGCACTTCTAAAGATCTACCTCCTCCCCTAATGAGAAGACTTTATGCCTGGGGGTGAGCAAGGCAGCTGCCAATCTAAGAAAAGAAAGGAGGAGCAGGTTAAGATCTAGGACACCCATCCAGCGAGATGTCGTCCTGCCAAGCCCATTAAAGGATGAGAGAAGGTATCTATTTCTGTGCCAGGCTGCTTTTGAATGCATTCACCCATACTTCCATTCACTTGCTATTGTATATACCAATGGCTGGGATGAAAGGAGTAGCTCACTGAGAAATGCAAATACTGGGAAATTTACGGTGGGAGGAAAAAGAGAAGTGCCACTACAATACAGTGTGGAGCGCAGGACTCAGGATCCGCGACACACCGACAGGTTTTCTCTGATATTTGTGGCTGATAATTCACGCATCATAGTCTGGGGCGGGGATGCGGAGTGTCCGTTCCAGAGAAGCTTTTGAGGGACAAATATGATTAGTGGGCAGGACTGAATGCTAAGGGGCAGGGCAAACCCCCAAACAAGGCAGAAATGCCAACTATTTTATTTGAGTGTTATTTGAAATTATAATCCTAAAAAAACAAAAAGAAAACTACAAACAACATCCATCATCAAAAATATCGAGCCTGCTGGGTCAGCCCCCACACCCTTCTTTTTCCATTTATAATAACTTAAAAACATATTTAAATCTATGCAAAGTCCTGTTTCTCTAGACAATAATAAAAAGTCCCAAGTTTGACAGAAGTCAGTACCTTCCTTCTCCTTCAATGATGAAGTCAATCTATCCATTTCTGCACAGTCCAGGATCTTTTTTAAAATCAGTTCATCAGTGGGTAGTTCTTCACTTTTCCAGTGTTGAGCGAATGCAATCCTCGCCGCAGTGATTACATGCAAAATCAAATACATTTCTTGTTTACTAGTGTCCTCCAGTATAATGCCTAATAAAAAAACTTCAGGTTTAAAAGCTAAGGGTTTTTTTAACGTTTCCTCGAGCCATTTATGTATTTTAATCCAATACTTTTTCACGTTATCGCAAGTCCACCACATATGAGAAAAAGTACCCAATTTATGTTTACATTTCCAACATCCATTTGACATATTTGGAAACATCTTAGCTAATCTATTTGGCGACAGTTACCATCTATAAAACATTTTATACAAGTTTTCTTTATACGAGGTTGCTAATGTTACCTTAATATTTCTCTCCCACAGCTTTTGAGAAATGCCAAATATTTTAGAGGAAAGCTTTTTCTGGCAGTCTCTGAACCTCAGGCGAGGACTTTCACCATTTTGGGGTGGGCAAAAAGGGGGAAAAGGTTAGCAGACCAAGAAAAGAGTTGATGAGTGAGGAGAAGGGGGTGAGGCTAAGGGAAGGGGCATTGCATTCTGGGAGCCCTGGTGGGCAGGATTGATCCCTTGGGCCTGAGGTTCTGCACCTCTGCTCTAGACAGAAAAGAACAGGCTGATTCTATGTCAGAGGCAAACCTTTGATACCAACCATAAATTTAGCCCAATGCCTCTGCATAAGGGACAGAGAAGCAACATGCCCAAACCTCCATGGGATGGGAACATTTTGGACGTGTTCACCACCTGCAGGGCACCTTGTGTCCACTGCAGTGCATAAATACACAACCCTGAGCATGGATGCTTTTGAGGGAAGCATGAGTTCAGCAGACCCTTCAGGAGCCCTTCTCAGCCGAGCGAGCCGTTTCAGGATATTGAATGTGTGCACTATCTTAATATCGACATTGTTGTTATTGTTGTTGTTGTTGTTGTTGTTGTTGTTGTTGTTGTTGTTATTACATTTCTATGCCCTTTGGCACCAGAGCAGCATGAGATTCAGTGCATGGCTAACGGAAAAGGACAGGGGCCTCTGCTATTTCATACATGCAATTCCCCCATTCATCTGGGGCCCTGCAAGACTAGCGTCAGTGACACTGGAGCAGTTCCCATTGTAGGAGGATCTTGGTCCTGCCCAGGAGGCTGCTCCGAGGTGGTGCCACGTGGCGGCCCCTGCAGGCAAGAGTTGCATTTGACCCTCTTTCATTTGAAGCCCCGATTCTCTGGGAAGCTCTCTGCCCCACCAGCCAGCCATCCTTGGCCACTGGCTGAAATAAAAAACACAGGGTCACTTTTGCATCAGATGCCTGTGGAATTGCAAGCTTTGGGCCCACAGGGGTGTCATCTCTGGCCCTTGAATCTTTCTGCCCAGGGTTGCTTTCTAAGCACAAATTTATTTATTTAATTTATTTTTCGATTTATATCCTTTTTCCTACAAAGGGCTCAAGGCAGCTTACATCATTCTCCTCCTCCATCTTCTCCCCACAACAACAACCCTGTGAGGTAGGTTGGGCTGAGAGTCTGTGACTGGACCAAAGTCACCCAGTGGGCTCCATGGCTGATCGGGGGCTCGAACCCAGACCGCCTGAGTCCCAGTCCCACGCTCTTCACCACTGCACCACACTGGCTCTCACAAATGCCCCCCTCTCCCTCCTTGCTTAGGTACTTACACCCCTTTTTACAAATAGGGGCGTCCCTAGGAGACAGGATCCTTAAACACAGAGATGCATGGACTTATTATGGGTTATATTTCTGTACTGGCAAATAGCCAAACTAACTCAAACAGCACATGCCAATGAACATATGCAATTGTGTCCTTTCTTTCTTTCATGCTCCCATCTGCCTGAGCCTCAGGTCCTGTCTGACATTTAGGGCACAATCTTATGCATGTTTAGACAGCAGCGAATTCCTACAACAACTAGCATCCTCCAGCTAGCCTTGCGGGGAACTCCAGGACGTTCCCCTTGTCTGAAAGTGCATAGCATTGCTCCTTCAGACGCCGTGAAAAATAGCAGGAAGCTGCATTAGGAGAAAAAGCAATGAGTCCAGAATTAAAAGTAGGGAAATGCATTTATGGGACCAACCAAAATGCCCTGCTCTTCCCTGACTGGACATCCCTTTTCACCCTTAGGAGACAAGGTCCTTCAAGGACAGACAGATGGACACATGTACTTGGGAGCATATGGAATTTGCACGGAACATTGGGGGCCCTGAGCCCTGGATCTTTTCAGTACCTCGTAGCTCCAGCCCCGATGCAACCTCGTTTCCTTTAGCCGTTTGCAAGCTTGGTTTCCTCAGCAGGCACCACGGTAAATATACATGTTTGAACTGGTCAGATTCTAATTATTTCAGTGAGGCTGCGGCCGATACACGCGGGGGACTTATTATGTACTCTGCGCTCACGTCTGTCAGCTTCACTCTCTCTGTCACTACAAGTTAGATTTCCATAAAAGATGACAGGATGGATTAAATCCGCTCCCCATGGATAACGGCGGTGTGAGGCTTGGAGGGGGTATTCCGAAAGCTTCGCATAGCAGGCCTGTATCTGCGTATTACCCTTTTCTCACTCCCTGACCCCTGCATTTTTGGAGCAAGAGGCAGAAAATGATCAAGATGGATTTGTCTGCTGATCAATGGTAATCGAGCTGCATGGTATAGGCTTCCCCACCCCGCAGGACTGGACCACTTGCACCGCAGCTGAAGATTTGGAGATCTGAACGTTCCACCAAGGGAAACACAAATTACACACATCAAAAACAGAAGGAAAGCATGCCAAGGAGGGTATTAATAGTTCGCTTTTTCTTCAGTGTGCTATTTCTTTTGATGTGTGAGGAGTTTTTCTTGTTCTTTTTCTAACCGGGGGGGGGGGGCATTTAAAGAGAAGACCCTCCAAGTATATTGGGATATCAGCTGCTTTTTATGGCTATGAGGTGCCGCCTGCCAGCAACCAGTCTTTTTAGAGCTGACTGAGCAGGTGCATTTGTATTTCGGAAGGACTTTTTATGGAGACCACATTAGCCAGTGACCTTAGGGATGCAGGGATGGGGACGGTTGAGCTGGAAGGGTGCGGCTGAGATATCTTCTTTTCAGCATCCTGGTCCTGAAGCCCTTTCTATCAGTCGCTAAATCATAAGAGAAGCACTGCAGTCTTTTAGAACTGGGCAGAAAGGTGCCAAAGCTGCGGGAAAGCACCGAAAAGCAGTGGCTGGGAGAAGGGGAAGGAGGCAGCCTTCTGGACATTGGAGAGCCCCAGTGGGATCTCTGGAGAGCTGGCTGCACCCTTGTCCAGGGGGTGGTTTGGCTCATCCTTTGTAGGCAAGCAACCAAGAGCAAGCGCTCTGTGAGCACCTCTCGTAGTCTGTCTATGCACATTCCTTTTTGGCATGGCTTACCAGCAGGGCATGAGAAGAAGATGCTCCTGCCGGGGGCCAAGTAGGCTGCTGGTCTTCAGGAAATGTGGGCTCCCCGGAAAGTCTGTGGTGCACTGGAAGGTCCTCACCTCTTCCCACCTCTGCTGGCTCAAGTGCGGTGGCAGCAAGGCAGCCCGTAGATGCTGGGAGTGAGGAATGGCGGTCGGAGCCAATCAGCCGGCTGGATTCCAGATGCTGGTTCAGAATCGGAAGGCAAGGGATGCTTCAGTGGGGCCGTGGGGGATGGGCGAGGGCAAGATTCTGGGACGCAGGAGGAGGAGCAGGGAGATTATCTCAAGGCCGGATGCTCCACCAAGCAAGGCAGTTGTTGGGAATAACCAAGATGGACAGCCAGGGGGAGGGGTCTCTGTGGACAAGGATTTACAGGTGCAGGCCAGGCCCTGGGGTCGACCCCCTGATGAGGCATCGGCAGAGACGGGAGGTGCAGTTGCATGAGTAGCATGTGGAGAGGAGGCATGTTCGCCCTCGGAGAGAGCCAAAGGGATGGGGCCCAGGCATGCTCTGAAGGAGAGCTCCTGGAGGTGAATACTAGACTGGGTTCCACAAACTGCTCTGTGCACGCTCAGAAATCTGCTCTGGGTGATTTGTAAGAAGAAGCAATAAAGTGCAAGCAAGCTGGTGATGGTTCGAAGGAAGAACTTTGGCTCAGGAAGTAGACCTCTTTCTGCGGTATCTGGAGGCAGGCTGGTCAATACAAGGCCGGTGAAACCTCTGTTGGACAAAGCACACCTGGCTGAGAGTCAGCATTTGGCCTGGAGGGTCAAAAGTAATGCAGGCTTGCTCTACACTGAACCTAAGAAGAGGTCTGCTGGATCAGACTGAAGGTTGTTAGCACTCAGTGCCTTGCTTTTAACAGCGGACAGGCAGTTGCTTGTAGGAAGTTCATTAGAAGGTCAGAATGACCATATCTGTTCTCTCCCGTTTGCCCACTATGTCTGGTATCCAGCGGGTTGAGGAGAAAAGAGAGGGTTCACCTAAGGTCTCGGAGGAGAACTGAGAACTGAACTAGGAACTACTTGCTGTTGCAACAACACCACAACACACAAGCTCTTGGAGAAGACCTTCAGGTGGAGACGTGTGACCTATGAATGGGTGACAGCGTACTGATAAGTGAATTCTGCTGGCGACCCACTGCTCCTTTCCAACCCATTTTATGGCGAAGTCCAACTGCAGGCGGCTTTGGATGTCTCATTCTCTTATTGTGTTGCCCCCACACAAACTACGGAAAGGAACAGAGCTCCCAACGGGAGAGCCGGCAGCTAACAGCCAACGTGCTGTGAAATTGGCCTGATAAATAGAGGGAAGTGGAACGTAATGTCACCATTTTCATGGCATTGCCTGTGAACTGGAAACTGTTCTTTTTGCAACTTGTTGGCCAACCCTTTCACTGAAAAAGCAACTAGTTTTGATGCAGCTTCAACCCTGCAATCAAGGGATATTGTTTCCACAGGGCTCCGTCTGGCAAGCAAAGCAATCATTAATTTATTCTAACAGTGCGTCTCTGAAGAGATCTGTTTATTTGTCACCTTCTTCATTCT